GTGAGGTCTCACCAAGTTGCCCAGGTTGGTCTTGAACCCGTGGACTCAGGCAATCCTCTCACCTTGGCCTCCCAAAGTGCTGGGATTATAGGCGTGAGCCACAGCTCCTGGCTGGTTTCTTTATTCTCTTCACTGATAAAATCTGTGAATTTCCCACTTTCACCTGAGCTTATTGCCCTAAACTATGGGTCATCAACCTTTTTCTGTAAAGGGTCCGATAGTCAATACTTTAGGCTTTGTGGGCCACATAAAGTCTCTGTTGTTTTTTTAAACCCTTTAAAAATGTAAAAACTAAGGCTGGGTATGGTGGCTCAAGCCTGTAATCCCAGCACTTTGGGAGGCCAAGGCAAGAGGAATGCCTGAGCTCAGGGGTTTGAGACCAGCCTGGGTAACTTGGTGAGATGGTGTCTCTACAATGAATCAAAAAATAAGCTGGTAGCACATGCCTGTATTTCCAGCTACTTGGAAGGCGGAGGTGGAAGGATCACCTGAGCCCAGCAGGTCGAGGCTGTGGTGGCCATGAGCATGCCATTGCATTGCAGCCTGGGCAAGAGTGAGACTCCGACTCAAAACAATAAATCAATAAGCCTGGGCAACTTGGCGAGACCTCATCTCTACAATAAATCAAAAAATGAGCCGGGCGTGGTAGCTTGTGCCTGTAGTTCCAGCTACTTGGAAGGCTGAGGCGGAAGGATCGCCGGAGCCCAGCAGGTTGAGGCTGCGGTGGCCAGGAGTGACCACTGCACTCCAGTCTGGGCGACAGAGTGAGACTCCAACTAAAAAAATAAAAATAAAAAATAAAATAAAATAAAAATGTAAAAACTGGCCAGGCACGGTGGTTCATGTCTGTACTCCCAGCACTTTGGGAGGCTAAGGTGGGAGGACCACTCGAACCCAGGAGTTCAAGACCAGCCTGGGAAACACAGTGAGACCTTGTCTCTACAAAAAAATAAAATCAGCCAGGTGTGGTGGTACACATGTGTAGTCCTAGCTTCTCAGGAGGCTGGGGTGGAAGAATCACTTGAACCTAGGAAGTTGAGGTGACAGTGAGCCATGATCATGCCACTGCACTGCAGCCTGGGTGACAGAGTGAGACCTTGGATCACAAAAAAAAGAAAAAAAACAAAAAACCAGTAAACACCCGCTCAGCTGGAGGCTACACAGAAACAAGCCTTGGCTGCTTTGGTTCAAGGACTCCTGCAACTGCACTAACAATCTCCAGTGGGCTTTAACTAGCCCATCCGGAATTAGTTGGAACAAATTTATGCATCCAGACTTGTGAAGACATACCCAAGGGAGCCAAGGCCCACGTGTTGGTGACCCAGGGCAGAGGGAGAAAGGGTTGTCCCAGGGCTCCACCCCCACCATCTTAGGGTGACCTTGACTTTGCTTGGTTTTGCCTTAGGAAGCCTGAAGTGGGAAGGTGACTCCCCCTGGGCTGGGAAGCCATTTAAATAAAAACACTAAGAAACAAGAAGGCCAGTTTATTTTACAGTGACTCTGGAGGTAGTTCACATGGGAAGCCACAGGCACATCTTTAAGCCCTCTGGGGCTCAGCGTGCTGCATGTGTCATGCTGGCAGAGAGCTGCCAGCACTGAGGGTGGAAGGAGCACTCGGCCAGGCGGGCGTTGGGGTGGACAGCATCTCCACGCAGGGGGCCCCCGTGGCCACAAATGGCTCAGCAGATTCCACACGTGGTGAGAGTACTTTATTTGAATGAAAACGTCCTCTTGGAGGCTGGCCCGCCCCCAGCACTAGGCACAGCCTTAGGCTGACACGCAGTCCCTACTTGGACACATTCTTCTTGGGCAGCTTCAGGCTCTTCCACCGCCGCAGCACCACTCTGTGTCTGTCGTTCTCCGTCTTCTCCTCAAACACTTTTTTCAGGAGAATCCGCATCACTGTCTCTGTTCCTGCTGCTTTATCCTCTCCAATGAGAAGGTCCAATGTATCTCCCACTTTGACCTGAAAATTCAAGTGCAGCCCTGATTACATTTTGGGAAACCCGGGCTCCCCAACATCCCTACGTTGATTGAGCTTTCACCAGGGGATTGAGCTTTCACCCAGAGGAAGGGCAGGTGAGGAAAGGCCCTGACTCCTCTGTCCTCGCCATTTACCCTCGGGCCTGGGCAGGAAAGGCCCTGACCGGGAGGGTCCCTCAAGCAGAAGGGCTCGATGCCAGCCAGGGTCCTTCCGGCCCAGACAATGGCTGCCTGTGGCGGGTCCCTGTGTGGAATGGCTCAAACCCTCCCTAAGTTTTGGGTGACTTAGGAAATATTTCAATGCATGCTTTTATCTGAGTCACATGGGCAAAAGACAGAAGAAGCGGGCACGCTCTCAGAGCACATGCACTACATGCCCGGGAGACAAGTCCAGTGCCAGGCTTCTCACGATTTCAACCCAAATCAGCTACACAAACAGCGAAGGGCAGTTTGTTGGAAATGAGTCACTGTGGAGCATCGGTCAACTGTAAAAAGAAGAAAGAAGAAACTGCTCTTCCAGTGATGGCAGAGAATCAAGAAGAGAGAGAGACCTCAACTCACCAAGGGGGATGCCTTGGAAAACAAGGCAGAGCTGGCCCCAACAAGGGGGATGTCATGGAAAACAGGGTGGAGCTGGCCCCACCAAGGGGGATGCCACCGAAACAGGGCAGAGTCGGCCTCACCGAAGGGGGTGACACAGAAAACAGGGTGGAGTCCACCCCACCAAGGGGAATGCCGTGGAAAACAGAGCAGAACTGATTCGGATTAAAGGGCTGAGGTCAAACCTTCTTGCTCAGCAGGAAGCTTTGAGTTGAGCTAGTGCAAAGCATGCCCGGGCAGTTGCATCAGCTCCAAGGCCCGAGGACACAGGCCTGATGGAGGGTATGGACAGCCCAGCCCAGGATAGATACTTGGTCCAGGTAGCTCAGGACTCCAGGATCTTCCCAGAGACTCATGAAGGAGCCACATGTTGCTGCTTCTACTAACACACAAGCCGGGACAACTGGGGCCCATCTCAGACCTTCCCCACCACTTCTACAGCGGGTGGGGGAAGCCCATGTGCAGGCACACATGGCCAGTTCCGAGCCTCCTGGGGGCCTCTGCTAGGAAGCATGGTGTCCAATGACAACACTGACTACATTCTCCAATGAATGTTCTCTAAGGCAGGCATAACTTCAGACTGTCCAAACGTCTGCACCTCCCAGGCAAGTTCCTATCTGTCCTACCCACTCAAGGCCCCTGCAGGCCCCAGAGTCCACCTACAACGCGGACATGCAGACCTGCTTGCCACAACACTATACTCACCAACCCAGAGGCTTAGTTGTGAGACATAAAATTCATGCAGGGGCAGATTTTTTGTTTTTTGTTTTGTTTGTTTTTGAGTTGGAGTCTCAGTCTGTCGCCCAGGTTGCGGGGCAGTGGCCGCTCCCAGCCACCGCAGCCTCGACCTGCTGGGCTCGGGCGATCCTTACACCTCAGTCTTCCAAGTAGCTGGAACTACAGGCGTGCACTACCACGCCTGGCTAATTTTTTGATTTATTGTAGAGATGAGGTCTCGCCAAGTTGCCCAGGTGGGTCTCAAACCCGCGGGCTCAGGCAATCCACTCACCTCAGCCTCCCAAAGGTGTGGGATTCCAGGCTGAGCCACTGAGCCCGGCTTACAGGGGCAGATTTTAAGCCACTAACTTCTGCCTTCTAGGCTGAGAAGCAGAAAGGCTCACACCACAGCAGGCATCGAGAGCTCTTCTCCCAGCTGGGCATGGTGGTTCACGCCTGTAATCCCAGCACTTTGGGAGGCGGAGGCGAGAGAACTGCTTGAGGCCAAGGGTTTAAGACAAGCCTGGGCAACTTGGCGAGACCTTGTCTCTGCAATAAAAGAAAAAGAAGCCGGGCATGGCGGAGCATGCCTCCATCTCCTGGGCTACGTGGAAGGCTGAGGTGGAAGGACCGCCTGAGCCCAGCAGGTCGAGGCTGTGGTGGCCAGGAGCATGCCACTGCCCTCCAGCCTGGGCGACAAGAGTGAGACTCACTAAAAAAAAGTTGTTTGAAAGAGATGGGGTCCCACATGCTGCCCAGCTGGAGTGCAGTGGCTACTCACAGGCGTGACCACAGTGCACCACAGCCTCTATCTCCTAGGCTTAAGGGGTCCACCTGCCTCAGCTTCCTGAGGAGCTGGGACTGCACGCATGCATGACCAGGCCCAGGTTCAATTTTTTATTTTTATTTTTCGAAACAAGGCCTCACTCTGTTGCCCAAGCTGGAGTGCAGTGGTATAATCATGGCCACCACAGTCTCAATTCTTCAATTCTTGGGCGAGACCTCCCAAGGAGCTGGAACTACAGGAATGCCCCACTATACCCAGGTGTAGAGAAGAGGTCTCGCCAAGTTGCTCAGGCTGGTCTCGAAACCCTGGGCTCAGGCAATCCTCCCATCTCTGCCTCCCACGGTGCTGGGATGAAGGCGTGAGCCCCATAGACTCCTTGTGCATGATGCCTGCCCCTTAGCAGAAGAGCACACAGGGCAGCAAATCCCTTTGGGGCTTCCTTTGAAGGCACAGAATAGGGAAGGCTCGTTTCTCCCTACTCAGCTGTTCCCAGGAAGAGCCGAGTGGAGGAAGAATTTGGTCCCCACACACCGACTGCTGATGGCAACAGTTAACCAGCACCTATTGTGCCATGGACCCGCCTGGTCTGCCGTTCAGCTGTACTGTGCTCAGCTGCAGGCAGCCAGGGTCAGACCTGTGGCAGCAGACCAGCACCTGACCTCCAAGAAGGCCAAGGAGGGCGGGACACTCTTCATCCCCCCAGGCCCTGTTCTTCAGCAGACACAAAGCAACACTGGCTGGGATTAGGGGCTGTTCCAAATAGCTACATTTCAAATCTCCCCTGAGCTGCAGTTTCTATGGCTACCAGGCCTCCCAGTAACAAGGCAGCGGAGTGTCAGGACCGGCCCTTCCTTTGCTGACCCTCAGGAGACACCTGGAAGGCAGCCGCAACAGCAGAACACCCAAGGCAGAAGGAAGCAGCAGCAATTAGGCTGAGTTAACGATACGTCAAAGCAGGCAGAGAGAGCCTCTAGTGGGGTTTGTAAGTGAGGCCTAGTGCAAAGACAGAGTGTTCAGAGAGTCATTGTTCCCTACTCCAAGAGCACGTCTTGTCTTTGGCATATGCGGTGGTGGTGGTGGAGGAGGAGGAGGAGGAGGAGGAGAAGGCCAGGCTACCATCAGGAACCAGCAATTAAGGGATGAGAAGGGCCCGTGAGGAGCACCAGACTTCATGCAGCTCATTGCGCATTGCTGACAGCAAGTCAGGAGCTGAGACATGCAGAGTCTCCCCTTGTGTCCACAAAGCACCAAGAACCCGGGAGACTCCAGGAGCAAGAACTGAGGAGGCCTCAGTGCCCACCCAGCATGGCCACTGCCTCCCATCCCACATCCCAGCAGCAGGATGCAGCTCAGATCCTCAAGCCCAGGGAGATTTGAAGCACAAAATACAAGCAACCACCCAAAGTGCAACTACCTTCTCAGGGATCTCTGCTCCCTGAACACTGAGAGATTAGTTCTTCCAGTACCTCATATCTTGTGTCTTCGAAACTTTTTAAGGGTCTCTAATGTCTTTTTTACTGTGTTTTTTTAACTTTTACTATCAGTATTGTATTTTCAATTATGAAAGTGATACACTAACTCATCACAAAAAATCCAGACAATAAGAAGCATAAAGATAATTAATATAACCCACAACACACCAAAGATAATAGTAACATTTTAATTCCAGATGTATGTATACATGTTATTTCTACAAAATAGTTTTAACATAATTTATATATAAATGGTTTGCTAAAAGTGGGTACTAGAAACATATGATCTTGTAACTGACTTCACTCACTTAACAACAGTATTGATATGGGTCAGTAAGAAAACATCAAACGTCAGCTTTGACAGCTGCCGGGTATACAGAGCAGTGCATCCAGGCTTGGTGGCACTGCTGAGCTGAACAGTTAGTTACACAGCTGCTCAGACGCCAGGACAAAGAACACCTCTACGTGGACCAGTCACGTCTTGGTAATATAATTATTAGAATCTCATGGGAGTTAATGTGAATGCCCTGGAAGATTAATTAATGGGTTTTTGCTAGTCCTGATAGTAGCTTATCCTAAAATTTTGAAGAAAAGGAAGCAGCTTCATCACAAGGTTTTTAAGGCTATAAAAGTGAAAGTGCTTGTGTGAATGAAGCCTGTTGGTGGCTTCCACCTGCTTGACCAGGACCACGAGAACCTCAGGGAAGGCAAGGAGCCTGAGAGGAAATCTGGGCAGCACTGAGTACTGGCAGAGCAACAGACAGACACATCCAGCTGTCATTACAGATACGTAATATCTCACCGTTCTGCTTTTCTTCCATAATTTTTCCTCATTCAGCCTGAGTTCACCTTTGTAGAATGCATCTTCCACTTTGCTATTAAAAAAAAAAAAAGTAATAATGTACACTCTTCAGGAGATGAGTACACTAAAAGCCCAGACTCCACCACTACGCAACATGGCATAACAAAACTGCACTTGTGCCCTAAATGCATTATTTTAAAAAGGCAAAGTTGCTGGGCACAGTAATCCCAGCACTTTGGGAGGCAGAGGTGAGAGGATTGCCCCAAGTCTAGGGGTTGGAGACAAGCCTGGGAAACTTGGTGAGAACTCATCTCTACAAAAATTCAAAACAATTAGCCAGGCGTGGTGGTGCATGCCTGTAGTTTCAGTTACTTGGAAGGCTGAGGCGGAAGGATGGCCTGAGCCCAGCAGCTGGAGGTTGTGGTAGCCATGATCATGCCATTATACACCAGCCTGGGCAACAGAGTGAGTTTCCAAATCAAAAAAAGGGCAAAGTGCTTTATTATTTATTTATTTTAAAGATTATTATTTTTTTGTTGTTGTTGTTTGAGTTGGAGTCTCACTCCGTCACCCAGACTGGAGTGCAGTGGCCACTCCTGGCCA